GCGATGGCCTCCAACCTACTATAGCGATGCCCTCCAACCTACTATAGTGATGGCCTCCAACCTGCTAGCGATGGCCCAACCTATATAATAGCTTTCTTCCACACATTTGGGATGCACTTTCAGGATCTTCGAGAGATTTTACCTGGCCTTGCTTGCCACCATGTTTAATGGTACCCCTCGCTGCGAAGGACCACAAACGGTGGTTTTGTGAACTGTATAACCTTCAGGCTAGTTACTTTCCATCGGTCATGAGCTTTCCGGTTGGCAATCGAACATGTTTCTTCTGACCCGATGTGAAAGGACCAGTCGTAATTCTGTCTTCATGCTTCCTTATTGTCGGAGACTCAACTGGTGGCGTGCAGCTTGTACTCACGTACTCAGATGTAGATGTGTCAAAGCACAAAGGATATGGTAACGCTAGGTTTGGGTTTACTTAAATAGCTGTTCACAGGAGCCCAAGGCACAGTGACCTATTCCAAACGCCTATTTTGTCTTAACATTGCAAGCCGTTGCAGGTCATTGCGCTTCTGATGCTTGGCTCCCAGACGACATTGGAGGTTGCATGGTGCATGAAATTTGAAACATGGCATAATTCGTGGTGTGGCTGAGGGTGCGCTGGTTGAATTATGACTTCTTTGGCCTTCTCACTGCAGACAGCTCAGCTTCAGTTGAAGATCATGCAATCAAGTCCAGCCCAAAGCCGTTGTGACCCTGGCGCTTATGGACTTCTTTTCCGCAATTTCTGAGGCTGCTAAGTACAGCGCGCAGAAGACCCGGCCCACCTTCCAGAAAACAATGGTCTGCCTGGTGTTGACGTCGCTGTGTCGAGATTTCTCAAGATTTGGAAGTGCCTGGAGGCTGTTGGAGCGACTGTGGGGGCCCAGCCGGCTGATTTGTAGTCCATTACGCCAGTTGGTTCAATTAGACAATTCGCGAGCTGACAAAGGGTGAGCGTGCAGGTTCAGAGTGTTTTCTTCATTGGTATGCAGAGCTTCGATCTTGGAGAGAAACAATGGGACGCACTTGAATAAAAAAGACATACTGAGGAAAGGGTGAAGGTGTGTGATGTCGTTTTGGGTCGACTGAGATCTGAGGCCTGATGCTGGTTTGTACCAGATCGTTGAGCCTCATTGAATTTGACCCCTTCAAGGCAGGAGCTCACAGCGGCTTGAGACGCTTCATAGGGGCTGTCTAGGTGTAAATTTCCAAGTGTACAGTTCTGTATGAACCGGGCTATATAAATGTGTGCTAAGACTGTTTATTTTTTCGCAAAATGATTCCTGACCCATGAGATTTCATGAATTCCCCTTCGCATCAGCTCATTGCACTCTCCATGACACGGTCATGACAAGCACAGATCAACCGAACTGTGGAACCTTACAGGTTCCCTGTGTCAGAAGCACCCATAAAGTGCAAAACGTATAAATGCAGAGTGGCAAAACAAAGTACAGTACATGTATATATATATAGTATGTTTCGCAGTCCGTGCAAACACACATAGATTCCAAAACCATCTTGGAACGTTATGGACAATTGCAGAAGATGTCAGGTGAACAACACATTCGTTGACTCTCGCACACTATGCTCATGGACGATTCTTTGCCGCCCCATTTCCGTTAGCTTCCGGTGTGTCTTCCAGGAAAGCACAGGGTACACATGTCCTTATCCAGCCGGGCACTGAGCTGACTAAGCGGGGTAGAGGACATGTATCTTTCTAATTGTGCACACTAGTCTTTCATGGTCGAGGACGACTACATCTCTGTCATGACTGGTAGAATGTTCCTTTTGGTCATGGCGCATCCCTCAGACTAGCAACGCGTGACCACTATCTGTGGGAGCTTTCAGACAAGCAACGCATGTTTAACATCTTTCCACTTCAAGGCTTTGATCATTGCGATCATCACTTTCCTTTGTGCCAATGGGTGGCCCAGCTGAGAAAACGATGTGCCACGGGACGAAGGACAAGCTGGACCATCGTACTCCGTCGACATGTGACCCGTTGAGTTCATGGATGAGTGAGAACCAGCCATGGTTGATATGCCTGGAAGTCCTTTTTCAGTTATACATATCACATATATAATATGTCACTGATAAAGGAACCCCATCACGAACAGGTCGACTCCAGGATGATCCCGTCATCCCTGGCCTCATCAGGAGGGAGTGCCAGTCACATGTCCCATGTCGTCGACGGCGAACTCACATGGGCTGGCTGACGATCCCCATGGGCAATGTCAGAATCCATGTAGGGAGCCAGTTGCAAACTTCCTGGTCAATTGTTTGGCGTAGATTTCAGTCGTATGAAGTGGATCACCATGTGCTTCATTGTATATCGATCCTTGTGGGTGGGCTTTCCTTTACTAGTCACCGCCACTGGGCTACCCAAAATCACCCACGAACCGGGAAATACCTCCAGATCACACTGTGCTGGAGACCCCTGTTGCTCACTCTGTTTGTAACTTTATCGGGTCACCTGGGCGCACTCAAGAGGCAGATATTGAGGAAGACGATGGGGTTCTAGCCAGGGTATCAAAATATTTGTGACAGCCGAAACGCAAGATGGAACCCACGAACCCAGGTGCAACACGCACTCTAAAACAAAGTTTGACACTCCTGTGGGACACTCTTGTAAGACACTGTTGGCGGTGCTCTTGTGGGACACTCTTGTACTGTAGTCAGAACACTGTTGTGGGACACTCTTGTGGAAAACTCTGGTGCGACACTCGTGTAAGACACTCTTGTGGAAAACTCGTGTGGGACACTCTTGTGGGGCACTCTTGTGGGACTCTTGTGGGACACTCTCGCGGGACACTCTTGTGGGGGCAGTCTTGTGGGACCCTCGCTACTCTTTTGTCGCATGGGACACTCTCTTGTAGGACACTTGACGGAGATCTTGTAGGACACTCACTCTTGTGGCAAACTCTTGTGGGCTACTCTCGTGCGACACTCTTGTGGTGTGTCGCAGACTAGATACAACAATGTAACGCCAAGCGTCGTTGAATCCCGCTCCCCAGCGACACGCCGAAATTACACAAGCATGTTTTCCTTCCCGCATGGACTCATGCGGCTTCGTGCTTTCCACCGAAGCCGCGCGCAACTGCATGGCAAAGCGACATCGCAGACGGAATTTGGCCACACGGCGTGCCAAAGACTAGATACAACAATGTAGCACCAAGCGTCGTGGGCGCAACCAATCATTCCACTCTCCAGCGACGCGCCGAATTTACACCAGCATGTTTCCCTTCCCCCGTTCTACGGCCACTGCTCCCAGAAGCCGCTTGCCGCGCTACATTGCACTACAAAGTTGCCAGTTCTGAGGCCAGCTTGCAGAAGCTGCTTCCGGTATTACACAAAGTTCTGAGGCGCACAGCTCTAGAACCGGCTCCCCGTATTACACTTGTACTACAAAATCAATGCCAGTTCAGCTCCTTGTGCTACCAAGAAGCCGCTTGCCGCACTACATGTGTACTACAAAGTTGCCAGTTGTGAGGTCACAAGCTGCTTCCGATATTACATTTGCGCTAAAGTGCACAGCTCCCAGAAGCTGCTTCCCATACTGTACTACAAAGCTGTCAGATTTTGCGCCAGCGCTACAAAGTCGCGAGTTGTGAGGGCAATTCCCACAAACCGCTTCCCGTACTACATCCAGTTCTGAGGCCACGTGCGACCGTACGATAGTCAGGTGGCGCGCTCATGGGACACCCTTGTCGGGCACTCTTGTGGGCCCGCCACTCTTAGTGGGACACTCTTGTGGTACACTCTTTCAGGACTCTTGTACGAGACACTTGTCAGGACACGCTCTCGTGTGCAACTTTTGTGGGGTTCTCTTGCGGTCAAGTGTCCAGAGCGACTGTTTCGTGCGAGATTTCCTCCAAAACCTACAGGTCAAGTCTCCAAAACAAGCGTTGCGTACAAGACTTCCTCCCAAACTCAACTGTCAAGTCTGCAAAACGAGCGTTTTGTACGAGAGTCGTTTCTCAAAAACTCATTCTTCAAGTCTGCAAAACGAGCTACTTCCTCCAAAACTCACGCGTCCAGTCTGCGTGACGAGCGTTTCGTACGAGGCTTCCTCCAAAAGTCACGCGTTAAATTCTCGAAAGCGAGCGTTTCGTACGAGGCTTCCTTCAATAGTGAGGCGGGAAGTCTCAACAGAGACAACAGCCTTGCCAAGCAGTTTCGCAATTCCAGCCCCTCAAGGCCACAACCGCAGACGCACCAATCCCAATGTCACATTGACCTTCACCAAACATCGCAGCCTCACGATTCCTGCGCCTGCCACGAAAACTTAACTTCGACGCCTCCAACGCGCGCAAAGTACTGCGCCGGCCACGACGACGTCTTCATGTCTTCAGCAAAATTTGCACCACGCCACATGATTGCAATAATGGTTTCGACGCGTGCTAAACTAGACACTCCCATCCACCAAAATCGCAATTTTAGCTGAGACCTGTCACGAAAACACTGCTTCGAAGCAATAGTCTGAAACGCAAATCTGAATGTCACGGCCACGACAGCAAAAAATACTGCGGATCTCACAAAACGCTGCACCTGCGCAGTGAAATCATCTTCCACACTTCAACCTGTTACGCTTCCACACGCTTCCTCACTATTTCACACGAATCTGACACGTCATGCTTCCATCCAAAGCCCTCTCCAAAAGCTTCGCCCAATGCCAGCGCCATAGCGCCCTACCGCAGTTGGTTGCGGACGGTTGCGAACGGCGGCGGGCGGTTGCGGTCGCTACTACAACGAGTCGCGAACAAGAGTTTACCCTCAGACCCCCGAGTTAAACGAGCACCCTTCGCCACATACTCGGGAAAAAGCGCCTTGCTGGGCTTCGTCCCCCTCTTTGTCTAGTATGTATATATAAACCTGGATCTTCGAAACGGCACAAATAATTGCCTTTTCAGGGAAAATGCCGTTACGGCGTCTTTTTCCAAAGACGGCGTTTTTTGTTGTGACGAGGCGCACGCCGGCAGAAAGCAAAAAGAAACGGCGTCTTTAAGCGTCCAAACGGCGTCTTTGGGCGTCCAAACGGCGTCTTTCCCCGTCCATGGATTTTGTACAACCCATAAAACGGCATTTTTTTGTGATTACGGCGTCTTTTCACTAAAAAATGTCTCCGGCAAAAATTTGTGCCGTTTGAAGATCCAGGTATATATATATATTATATATGACGTGCCGTCAAAATTTGCCATGATCACGATTGCATGAAAGCGTCGTGTTCATATGCGGGCATGCTCCCAACCCGACTCACAAAAATGCGGTACCCCTTTAACAAGGTTGCCAAACTTTCAAAGGCGATAGGGGGCTCACAAATCTGAGGATACAACAACCGCAAGTAATAGATGTTGACCATACTTGGGGACATCAGCCGGGGGTCAGGCGTTTTTTGATTCATAATAAGATCTATTTATATACATTTGCTGTGGCAGTTCAAGCGAGCTTTGTGCAGTTTCAAGGCACTTTATGGGCCAAGAGTATATTCTACGAGACTTTGGCCATGAGCTCGGACACTGCGCGGTCCTGCTTCAAGTCCGTTTCATGCGAAGCTTGCGCACGTTCGTACTCGAGTTTTGTTGAACAGAACTCTTGAACCATTTTGCGTACACAAGGCAAGCAGGTTGATATGAATTTGGGCAAGCTGGACCCTGACAAGAAGCGCGCCTGACGTGCTTCAGCTCGACTGCTCATGCAGCAATCAAAGTTTGTGGGTGAGAATCGGAACATAGGATATGCTAGGTGTGACAACAGCCGTGCATGTCAGGTTGGACGGTGGGAGTATTATCCGAACGCAGCAATGTCCGGAAACCTGGAGTCAAACATGACAAGCCTTGTTTCTAGACTTTGACCAGCCCAAACTTTAGTCTACACAGTCCATGGTTTTTGAAGAAGGCATGTCTCCATGAACTCGAATGCAATGCTTCTTTGCCAGTCTTCAGCATGATCCCAACCACACTGGGTATTTGGATCGATGGATGGAACGTTAAGGCGGGACATGAACATTTTGCAGACTTTAGCTGGGCACTTCTTGATTGTTCAGTTCAAAGTTCAAAGTGACATGCCAGGGACTCTTGCTGAAGGAACGCGCGATGGTCTATGCCGAGGAGGGCACATGACATGGGGTGCAGGGGTTGTTCTGATGCTTCTTTGTTCTAGTTCTCCACGCACCCCCACACTTCGGGGGAGTTGATCTATTGGTCTATTGGTTACCTTATATTGACAGTTGGCCTGAGCTCCGGTTCCACAATTTGGAGGAGTTACGAGTGCCAACAATCTGCATGGGGCTCAGGTTTGGAAAATGCAGAGTTTGCCTTGGTGTTTCTTTCAGCTCTTCAACACAGAACCTCTAAGCTGGCGCCATATCGACTCTGGTGTTCTTGCAAGAGCTGGAACAGGATGAAGCAGGTTTTGCAGACAAGTTAACCTGAGTTAGGTCCTGACTGTGGAGTTGCCCACGTTCCCTATTTCGAGCTGATGAAGGCTTCAGGTGCAGGATCTCATTCCAGTAAGCTTTGTGCCGCTCGATATTGCTGGTTGTCATACAGGAAGGCAGCTTAGCTTGGCCTACCAGATCTTCCCCTTTGGTGCAGTGATCGGAAAGGCCATGCTCAATGTATCCATCTTCTTTGGCCATGCCTCATTCATGTGTGAGGCGTGTGAACGTTTCAACAACCCGCCGCTGGTGTATTGGGGAACTCAGCTGAAGCACTTGCCTCAGTGCCACAGTACCAAGAGACGGTCGAATGTGATTCGGGCTGAGGTGCTTGAATGCCAAGCCCACTGTGGACGGAGTGAAGTCCATGGAGGGCAGGAAGATGACGGGTGCTCAGGCGAGCAAGGGAGGATAACACTGATGGATACGAACTTTTGCTGGAAATCCTTACAACGTATATCATAGTGTGCTTGGAATTTGGATACACATGTCTATGCGATGCGGTAGGGGGGCTTTTTGAGCATCGTCAAAACCCTTTGGAAGACCAAGAAGTAAGCTGTTTTGTCATGTTTTGTTCACTACTCGTAAGTGGCTCGACGTCAGGAGCTGGCTGGCATGGAAGGATTCTGTATTTGCGCCCGATACTTTAGCACCGCCCTGCAGGCAGCCAAGTACAAGGCGCAGCTCTCAATGGCCATGATGAAGGTTCCTCCAGCGGCTCGAGCGTTCTGGCATTTGATCGCATAGCATGCAATCAGCGGCTCCTGTTTACAGTGCGCTAGCTGGAACTCGGCAGGATAGAGGTGCACCCGGTCTACAAAGAGTGGCAGCAGTGGCCATGCCCGCAGCACAGACACGAAAGGATTTACATACATCTTTTGCATGCTTTCTTGAATTCCTAATCCGTTACGTCTGTTGATTCAGTGGACTTGATTGGCTATATTGACTCAGCAAGCGAGATAAACTGAACTTCCGGACTGTTCAGCCTTGAGCTGCGCTTGACGGCACTGCGCACCCATTGAACTTTAAAAGGCCGCTCTGCCCCCTAGAAGCGATGGCCTCCAACCTAGAAGCGATGGTCTCCAACCTAAAAGCGATGGCCTCCAACTTAGTAGTTTGGAGAAAGGTGTACAGAGTAATGTCAGGTATTTCCTCATGCTCTATTTCACGGTGATGTTGACTGACGAGAATGCCTGAATCTGACTCTGGAGTGCTGAAGAGTATCAGGTTTCCCGATATTTTCCAATGTCGTTTTGGTGAAGCTGTGTTCGTTCTGAACCAAGGTGGCTGAAATGGCCTTACAAATGTTTGAGCTCTTGACTCTTGTTGCATACTCCAAGGCGCGTTGTCAGCATTCCTGAAAATAGAAAGTCAAAAGAAACAGAGAGGACGGATGCCTCCCAGTTACATGAACATGTTTATTGATTCTCCCACACTTCTGGCTTTCGTGCTTGTGAGGCTGTTTGTGAGGTGCTGCTGCCAGCTCTTTGTGCGCAAGCTCAGCCCGTTTGGGTAGCTTGTCGTGCGTGCTATGCTTGGAGCCACTGTGGACAAGTGACAAGCGACACTTGAAGTTGGGCCACAGTGTTTTGGGCTCTGCAAGTTTGTAGAAATCGCACTCATGGCACTCATTCTTTTTGGACGCAACATTTTGTGAAGGCCTTGCTGTGGTGGGGGCGCTTTTGGTCGCAGCCCTGGCCCTAAAAATGACATGTCTTGCACTGTGTGGACAAGGACTCTAAAATCGTAGATCAGAGCCCAGCCCAAACGGCAAGCAGAAGCAAGGTCAGGTCAACCACCGACAATTGGTGTGACACTCCTTGGACCATTCTCCTTTCCACTGAGTCTGCGGTAGCTGCCAAGAAGGCGGCGAAGGCTGGCCTCAAAGCAATAATTCTTTCGGACAACCTTTCGATAAAAGTCCCAATGCCTTGGGTCCAAGGGACACGGATTTGGACATACAATGTGAACCTGGGAGGCTGCAGTGCAACCCTACCGCATCTCACCGGTCATTGGCCAGTCTGGAACTGAAAAGGAGCCTTGAAATTGATTCCGAACCATTGAATTGAAAGTCGTGAAATTCTTAGCTTCGTGATTTCGCAACCTTGTGGGGGTTAGAGGCACTGTACTACTCCACCAGAGTTGTGCTTCCAAGGGTGCTGCATGGGGTGACTGTGGGCTATTCCTTTGCGTATTTCCTGCTGGAGGATTCTGCGCATTAGTATGACAGCGATCAATCAATGTGGAAGAACATGTTGATCACTGAGACATCAGTCACAAACACATCACAAACTCAGATTCTTAGGAGCCTGGATTGGGAGGCAACATGGGTATTGTCCGTCACTGAGATGTGGGGGTCGATGCCGAAAGGCCGCTCTAGGCCCAAACTGAGAACCTTTGACCCCGAGACTGCCTTTATTGGCCTCTCAGTGGGTGGAGCACTCTCGGTCGATGTCTCAGTCCATCTACAGATGGCTAAGAACTCTTTGACTCTTTCACTGGAACGAACTCTGTTCCTCAGTCAGTTAGCACTAGCTCTTTCAGTCACCTTGTACTATACTATACTATACAATTCTTCTCTTTCTTCTCTAAGGTTCTCTTAGCCATGGTCTCCTACGCGTTGGAGCTGTGTTTTCCACTTGGTGAACTGCCGGAGCGCAGAGCCGAACGGGCTTGAATTTTGCTGTGACCTAAGGTGACAACTGTGATCTGGCCGGTGGCCTCATCAAGGCCAGGCGGCACAAGCTACCACTCTAAGAGCGATGGCCTCCAACCTACAAGCGATGGCCTCCAACCTACA